AACTTCAGAAGAAAATATCAATGACTTTACTTTTGAATTCAAACTGGTGGTGAGCAAGAATGAGAATGTTGCATTTATTTACATGCCAACCCAAGGGCACTTAATAGAGGGTATACAGGGGAGTTCCAGTCAAGATGGTGGAATAGACAGCCCCTGGGGTCACTTTCTCCCACAAATCAATGAATTTGCAACTATAAAAATGTAACAACAGCCAAGCTGGATCCGCTGGAGCTCAGGGGAAGAGGAGGAGAGACCTATGGAGCTCATGAAGGTAAAGAAGCCACGATGAGAGAAAGAAAAAACTGCTCTATTTCAGGCTGTGGCCACTTTGAAGCTGGACCTGCTGAGCACACAGAGCAGGAGCCAGCAGAAGCTGCAGCTGTGCCCTTCGGATGGAACTGCTTGGAGGCAGCAGGGGAGAAGAGGGCCTTGGTGGCCCCCAGGACAGCAAGACCACTAATAGGTTTCCCGTGGACCCATACAGGAGTGAGGGGCCAGAACAGCTGTAAAAGAGGAGCCATTCAGAGGCCAGTGAGTCATCATAAGGGACCAGCTCAGGGCCCATCCCATGGGAAATGTTTGGAGCATGGGCAATGGGGGAGACAAGCCCACCAGAACACTGGGACACAGCAGGACAGCTGATCTACCCCCCAATCAGCACAGGACCACTCAGAGGAGACTGGTCAGGAATGCAGAATTGCATGGGGTGCAGTGTAATGTAAAAACTCAGGCCCAGACCAGAGTTTCTACACAACCCAGGTGCACCAGGTCTCTGGAGAGCCAGAAGTACCTATAAGGTCAACCATTAAACCCTGAGCTGCACAAAAAGTCTTCCCTAGGGAAACAGCAGCAAAGCAGCAATTTAGCTCAACCACACAGCTCAAGTACTGGTCCCCACAGGAAGTTCCCTAGTTTTAGAAGTAAGCAAAGGACAAAAAATTAGTTCCAGACCAGGCACACCACCAGCGCCTCAGGGCCCACCAGGAGACCTGAGGCATGGAGTGGGGACTGGACCCCCCGCCCACAACCAGGCACACTGCCAGTGCTAAGCAGCATGCCAAAAACATCACCTCCATGTGGGTGGCCCACCACAGCCACCACTGTAACCATGGATGCTGCAAAAGTGGCTAGATGCCACAACCACCATGGAGATGGTCCGCCAGCCACTGGAGTGCATTGACACAAGGAGAGTCACCAGCAGAAACCAAAGAAAAGAAGAAGATGTCTCTCTCCACAAAGCCCATCCCAGAGTGACAGAAGAAGCATCTGCTCTATGATAATACTGGGGGACCTGAACACACCTCTCAGCATTGGACAGATCGTCTAGGCAACAAATCAACAGAGTAACCATTACTCTTTCAGAGGGAGAGAAGAAATCCAGGGTTATCAGTGGTAGGAGGGGAGAGGGTGAAGGGGATAGGGAGAGATTGGACAAGGGGCATAAAGAATAAGTACGATTTGTAACAATATATATACTTGTAATATTAATTTGATCATCACATGTCAGCATTGAACCCAAAAAATATGTATAATCAATTATGATTCAATAAAAAAAGAAAGACTTGAACCGAAAAAAAAAGGGAGAGAGATAGACGGTGTGCAGTAATCACTCAACAAATGTTAGCTTATGCAATTAAATTCAACAAAATAAAAACCCAGACTTTGGAAATATTTCTGGTGAAAACTGCAAATTCCTTTCTCATATGGATGAAGTTTGCTCATGTCTGACTCAGGTTTCTCAATCTGGGTTGTTTTTTCTTTTTCCTTTGCAACATTCATGCCAAAAAAGTGATAAAACAGCAGTCTTAACCCACTCAGCAGAACATCTGAGTCATAACTAAAACATAATTCATCAATTTTAAATGCAAATAAGCCATTTCTTGAAGTATATGAACCAAAAAACACATAGTAAGTACAATATATCAATACAGAAGTTTAAAGAGACTTGAACTTTAAGATATACCAATTTTTTGCAGTGTTGAATAAAACATACTTTCTGTACAGTGCTCTTTACCTTTGATCATTTGAAAGTTACCTCTAATCCTTATAAATCAGAGTAACAGATTGAATTGGATATGTAACTACTGTCATCTTGTAACAGCGGGATGATTATTCATTAAGATAATTGATGTCACTGCAACTAACTAAATCATTTCCCCTTCATCCATCCTTTTCACTGAAATGTTTGTATTGTTATTTCAAGATATTTTCCTGTGCTGTTTTTGGGGTCTTACAATGAAAATTTGAGGAGCAACTAACAACTGTCTGTGCCCCGGAGCAGAAACAACTTTTCCTATTCCTTACCTGTGGTCATGGCACTGTTATGAAACACTGACATGGTGAAACAGTCATTGGGGAAAATCATCACATCTAATTAGGGCTTCTTCATATTTGGGGGCCTATCCATTGCTATCAGCCTGTGCACAGATGGGAAACTTCTCAACTTTGACCTTTACATGAAAAAAGCAGTTTGGTTTTTTTGACCTACCGAAATCTCTTTATTCAGTCTGTCCATTTCTGGAAACTCAGACCCAGGTTCCAGCCCCTACAGCTGACATTCATGCAATTTCTTCTTTCTCCATGGAAGCAGATTCCACAGAAGCTGTTTTAGGCACAATGGTTTGGTCCATCTGCAGAATTTGAACTTCGGTGGCCCGTGGGCTACATCAGGGCTCTAATGTGGTTAGGATTTTGGTTTTCGGGTTGGTGTTTTTTACTACCCTATATAATGTTGATATTTTAAAAATCCATTATCAATGTCAAAAAAAAGAAAAAGATCTGGCACCCCTGGGCCTGCGTCTCCACATGGCAGGCAACAGTCAGCTATAGACAAGCAGCAGCTGCCACTTTAGAAAGAGTGACGTCTTCAATTCGACCCAGTCCCTGTCACCCCTGCAGCACACCCTGGCCCACCACACTCATTTTCTCTCCTTGTCTGGCTCCTGGAGGCATATGAGTCTATGATCTCCTATCTACATCAAGGTACTGATTGGCAGATCAAGTGAGCACAACAGTGCCCATCCCACATTCAAAGGGTTGCTATCTAGACCTGCACCGTCCAGTACGGTAGCCACTAGCTACACATGGCTATGGAGCACTTGAAATGCGGCTATGGTGACCACACAACAGAATCTTTAATAACTTTTTTTTTTTTTTTTTTTTTTTTTTTGGTGGCTGGCCGGAACTGGGATCCAAACCCTTTGACTTTGGTGTAACAACACCATGCTCTAACCAACAGAGCCAACCAGCCAGCAAAAACGTTTCATTTAATTTTTAAACAAAATATTTAAATTGAAATTGAAAACAATGGCATAAAGTTTTATTGGTCAATTCTGGTCTAGATCAAGAGAGATTATAAGATTGGAAGATTTTGTTAACTGTGTGCAAATGTCAATCTGTTATTATTTTCCTCGGGATCGGAGCAGGTATCTTCATTTTAGATGCTCTTTAGTTAGCTCCTCCGCACCACAACAACCTCATACCTTACCGAGCAGAGAAGTTAATCAGGCCACACTGAGTCTCCAAGCTCTCTCGCTTGCTCTCTCTCTCTCTCTCTCTCTCTCTCTTCTACTCCCAGTGACCAGTGCACAGAAAATCACCAGGAAGTCATGCACACGTTGAAATTTAAGAGGCGATGAAAAAGGCTTCCTTCTCTACGTGCTTGCCTTCTTGCCTTCAAATCGCTTGGGACTATGGGGGACATCTGTCGGAAAGCATAAAGCGTCCCTGGGAGACACAATGCATCGGATCCTCCTCACCTGTGGGGCTAAACTATGCCAACGTGTATTCTGTGGCCCCGCCTAGAAAACAAAGTAAACCCTGCAGAGAAAGAAACAAAAAAACATTGCTATGAAGGGGGCATGGGTTGACTTTGGGGCTTTTCCTGAGAGAATCCAGTGTCCTAGTTAGGACACCAGTGGATGGTGGGGACCTCAAGAAGCCATAGCAATAGAGGGGATGTCCCAAAGTCAAAGAGGGGTGCTTAGGGAGGAGGAGGGATCAGAGGCAGGACTGCTTTACACGTCTCCACGGAGAGGCGGCCGTGGGGTCCTGAACCCGGGCTGTACTTGTACTCATATCGAAATGCTCGGAACAGAAGCCCCTTCCCTGCTGTCCCCTCCTGCTCCTAAAGTAGAACATAAACCTCTCCTCTCAAATCCTTATGGGTGATCATAAATCAAAGTCCAACCAATGAGGTCTTAGCGGATAAGTCCATGAACACTGACAAATATGGGAATATGGCTGGTTACATCCCATGATGAGTTAGTTTGATCAGCTGCTTGTCTTACTCAGTTGGCCTCGGCTCACTGAAGGAGAAAGCAAGAATAATCCCCTAGACAGCATTTACTACAAATGCTCATGTGTGGTAAAACATTCATTTCGCCTATTTCCTCAGTAACACTAGTATTTACTAATACCATCCCCTTTCCACAGATGAGAAAATTGAGGCTCCAAGAAGTTAAGCAACTTGACAAAGCCCCGATACTTATAAGTGGCAGATCCAAAATTGAAATCCAGGTCTCCTGACTTCAAATTTTATGTTTATGTGACAGCGAGGACATTATAAGAAGACAACACTACAGGAACAAACAAAGCTATCCTCTTGTGAAAACATGGAGCCATCTCAAAGCAAACACCAGGAGTGTCCGTTGAAGCTGCTGGGATGAATGCTAAGGCGTTCTACAACACGCCAATGTCTGGAAAGGCAGCTTCGGTCTACTTCATACAAAGGACTAGAGATATGGGCCTGCACTACGCACTCTGCACCCTAAGATCTCAGGGAGACCCTGCAACTCAGAAGCAAACCACGTGCAGCTTCCTGAGTTTCCCTTTCAGAGGTTTTCATCCTTCCCTTAAAACATTCCAACTGCTGGGCTGAGAATTCACATTCACTGAGTTCTCAGACGCAGGGAAGCATTCTTTAGTCCTTGGTCACAGCACACATCCCTGCGCCCTGAACGAAGCTTGCCCTGTGCACATGCTTGGAAGTGTGCCATGGATCATAGCTTCTTTTCTGAGGATTTCCACGACGACCCTAAGACTTGTGAAACATTGGAAATTGAAGATCCATTGCCAGAGGAGTTTGTGGAATTATATTCTGTGGAAATAGAATTATGGAATACTAAGTCTTAAAGAAACCTTCCAAGTCCACTCTTGCCAAAGGCAGGCCTGAATGCAAACCATCGCTGAGAGACTCTGTGGCCATTAACCTGCTTGTTTGTCCAGTCCTGTATCTTTCACTCCCTAGACCCATGGAAGAAGAAAACACATAAATTTTTCTTTATTCAATTCTCTACTTCATCTTCTCATTTTATTATTTATTTTCATTTTAGAAACAGCAACTACGCTGTAATAGGTTTTTTAGGTAGATTTCACCTTATCCTTGTCAAAGCGAAAAAAGGCATAAATGACAAAGTAACTATGATGTGACTGAGAAGAGCAGAGAGCAGGAGGCTGGTGAGGACACCGCCCTTGGTCCCCACCTGCACGCTCCCATTTCCTCAGAACCCCCAGGACTATAAAGCACTGCCAAGCCTGCAGGAATCCGGTGGCCGGCATCTGCAGCAACTGCCTCTTCCTTTCTTTTTTTTTTTTTTTTTATTTATTAAGAATATTCATGAGATACAAAACTAATTGTCACCCCTTGTGCCCATGATGTGAGGGCCAGATTCATACTGGGGACAAACCCATTACCAGAAATTACTTTTGTACCCCATGTCCCTACCCAATTATCCCCCAACCTCCCTTCCCCTCCCCCTCTTCCCCCCAACTCCACTTTGCAGCCCTAAGAATGTTCCCTCCCTCTGTAAGACCACCACACTACTGTGGTCTTTCTGTCCTTCCTTCTTTCTCTCTTAGCTCCCACATATGAGTGAGCACATGCGGTATTTATCCCTCTGTGTTTTATTTGTTTCACTCAACATAAGTTTCTACAGGTTCATCCATGTTGTTACAAATGGGAGTGTTTCATCCTTTTTTATGGCAGAGTAGTATTCCACAGTATAAATATACCACAGTTTCCTTATCCAAACATCCATCGATGGACATTTAGGTTGCTTCCATATCTTTGCTATTGTACACAGAGCTGCGATGAACATGGGAGTGCATGTATCTCTTCAACATGATGATTTCCATTCCTCTGGGTATATACCCAGAAAAGGGATTGCAGGATCATATGGAAGATCTATCTGTAGTTGTTTGAGAAAACTCCATACTGTTTTCCATAGTGGTTGTACTAATTTACAGTCCCACTAATGGTGTAAGAGTGTTCCCTTCTCTCCACACCCTCACCAGCATTTGTTATTCACCATCTTTTTGATTATAGCCAGTCTAACTGGAGTGAGGTGGTATCTCAATGTGGTTTTAATTCACATTTCCTTGATGGCTAGTGATGTTTAGCATTTTTTGTGTATCTGTTAGCCATTTCGAATAGCCAGAGCAATCCTGAGCAAAAAACACAAAGACAGAGGCATAACTCTGCCTGACTTCAAATTATACTACAAAGCTGTTGTAATCAAAACAGCATGGTACTGGTATAAAAATAGACATTCACACCAGTGGAGTAGAATTGAGAACCCAGAAATCACTCCTCAGGCTTATGGCCATCTGATATTGGACAAAGGCAACAAAAATCTACACTGGGGAAAAGACTGCCTCTTCAACAAGTGGTACTGGGAAAACTGGATATCCATATGCAGAAGAATGAAACTGGATATGCATCTCTCACCATACACTACAATCAACTCAAAATGGATTAAAGACTCAGGTATAAGACCTGAAACTGTAAAATTACTAAGAGAAAATATAGGTGAAACACTTCAGCAGCTAGGTCAGGGCACAGGCTTTATGAACATGAGCCTGAATATAAGCAGCAAAAGAAAAATAAACAAATGGGACTATATCAAACTAAAAAGCTTCTGCACAGCAAAGGAAACAATCAACAGAGTGAAAAGACAACCTACAGAGTGGGAGAAAATTTTTACTAACTATGCATTTGACAAGGGATTAATATCCAGAAAATACATAGAACTCAAGCAATTATACAGTAAAAAAACAAATGACCCAATTAAAAAAGGGCAAAGGAGCTGCCTCTTCCTTTCGATCAATTGATCACACTGTGGTGACCTCAGCCAGAGCTGAGGGGGATGGGGAGCAAGACAGAATTTGAAAGAGACTGCAGATAAAAATCTTTGCACATGCCCTCTTTCCTTGGCCTCCTGTGAGGATCCAATGGGCCTGGGACCTCCAAATAGCAAGCACAGGACTTGGTTTCAAATCATTGTGTTTACCAAAAACTTATGAATAGTAATCTTGGTCTTGGCTGTGCCATGGGGAATTAAGGGATGTGGGCAGGAGCATCCATATGTTGGGGTAGGGGTGGGGAGCGTGGCTACCCCCAAGGCCTGGAGGTAGTGACAGCTGTGATTAGTAAGGGGGTCTCTGAGGAGAAATGCACTGGCAATGGAGCAGGCTCTGCAGGGAGACCTCCTCCACGCAGCCTCCTGGAGAACCTCGGATTCTACTCAGAGTATTGCTGGGTTTCATGGCAGGTCCCCATGTAAAAAGAAGAGTAGACTTTTCCTGTTTAGCTCCCAAAACGTAAACTAGGATGACCCTATGGAGCAACAAACTGCAGCTCAATACACAGAGAGTCATTTGAAAAGTTACAGATTTCCCAAATTAGAATTATTTGTCTCATGAAGTTGTAGTGACCTCCCATTGCTCCAAATGTTCAAACAGAAAGTCAATCTGCAGGGGACGAAGGAGGAATAGGCAGAGCACAGAGGATTTTAGGACAGTGAAAACACTCTGCATGACACTGTAACAGTGGATACATGTCATTACACACTTGTCTAAACCCACAGAACGCACAACACGAGAGTGAATCCTGGTGTCAACTATGGACTTTGGGTGATTGTGACGGGTCAATATAGGTTCATCTATTGTAACAAATGTTCTACTCTGGTGGAGGATGTTGAAAATGGGGGAGACCCTACATGGTTGGGGGTAGGGGGTAAATGGGAAATCTCACTATCTTTCTCTCACTTTTGCTGAGTACCTAAAACTGCTCTAAAAAAAGTAAAGTCTTAAAAAAAAAAAGTCAATCTGAGAAGCAGGTAAGAACAGGGATTCCTAGGTCAAGTATGAGCTTTGATTGGTTAACCTATGAGTTTCTCACAAAATTAGAAAATATTGCTTTCCCCTCCCTAGATCCCTCGCTGTGCCCCATTCATTTCCAGCAAATCGCAGGCTGGCTTTTGTTTTTAAATGTCTTGGAAATGTATTACAATAAAAATGCTTGTCATGTTCAAAAAAAAAATTAGAAAATATTGGAGCTGGAAAAGTACATCTTAGGAGGTAATCCTTTGAGATAGGTTGTTCTAAATCCTAAGGTTGTTCAGTCCTTAAGTTGTTCTAAAACTCTTACTCACTTTCTTTCTACACAGCTAGACCTCTTTGCTTCTCTTTACTTAGCTAACCCCATAATTAGTCAGCCTTGAAGAAAAACCATAAAGAGTAAAAGGAAAGAAAGACCTCCCGTGAGACTGACTTCTGGTTCATGTCTAGAGCACAGAGGAGTCCAATCACCAGGAACTCGTTTGTTGATTGACAGCAAAAAGTAAACTCGGTTTCACAAAAATTTTTTAAAGCTCATGTTATATAAGGATTTAGGTAATAGGCTTAACCTCTGAAAATCTTAAAGTCCTAAAATTTTCAGTTTTATTCTTTGTTAAAAATGAATAATACATGAAGATGATGAAAATCAGAAAGACAGACAATACGTGTTGGTGAGGATGCGGAAAAGTTGGAACCCACATACATTGCTGGCACAAACGTAAACTGGTACAGCCACTTTAGAAAACAGTTTGGCAGTTCCTCAAAATATTAATCATAGAGTAACCATATGACCCAATAACTCCACTCCTATATACCCAAGAGAACTGAAAATACACATACAAAAAAACCCTGTACACAAATGTCCATAGCAGCATTATTCATAACAGCCAAAAAACAGAAACAAACCAAACGCCCATCAACTTACAAACAGAAAAAGAAAATGCGATATGTCCATACAATGGAATATTACTTAACAATAAAAAGGAATGAAGTACTGATAAGTGCCACAACATGAATGAATTGTACACTTTAAAAGGGTGATTTTACGGCATGTGAATTATATCTCGATTTTTACTTAAAGTCTCCAGTGGCTTTCCATTATATTTAATATCTGATTTAATTCCTTGTCATAGCCCACAGGACCCTGACATCTAACACTCCTTACCACATTGCCTTTCTTTCTGGGCCTTAAACCCAGACTTAGTCCTACATCTTTGCACCAGCTCTTCTCCCTGCCTGGAACGCTTTTCTCTCCATTTCGTCCCATGACTGGCGTCTGTCATTCGATCTCCTCAGTTGCTGTCTCTATGTCCTTCCCTGACCGCAAGAACTAACACAGCCTCCCTTCCCACATTACCAACACATTATCCACTTTAATTTTTTGTACCACTTATCATTTTCCAAAATTCTCCAATGTATTTGCTTAGTAGCTTTCTGTGTGTCTCACCCAGTGGGACTTATCTTCCCAATACAAAGGCCCCTAGCGACATCTCATGTGGTCAGCGGCCACATGTGGCTAGTGGCTCATGGTTGGACAGCACAGTACAATCATCATCTCAGAGAGTTCTGCTGGATGGCACTGCACTCGAACGTAAGCTCCGTCTAAGCTGGGTCCCTATTTATCTTGGTCATCAATGTTTCTCTAGAATCTAGAACAGTGCCTGGCATATCGGAGGCTCTATAAAGAGTAATTAATGATTGAGTAAACTGAATGAATGAATGAATGAATGAATGGACTGGAGGGTGTGTTCAGTAGAAAGCAGTGGAAAGGAGAAGGAATGCTGAAAATAAATTGAACAGGAGAGAAAACAGGAGCAAGAAAATAAAGTATTTGTTTATGTTCTCATCATCTCTTTATTCCAATATATCATAAATTAGTCATGACAGTCTCAGTATAGAACGTTTTAATTATTAGGTCTTAGTGTCTTTTCCCAGCATTGTCCTGTTGGAGAATGTGCTGAATAACGTAATTTGACACCA